TGGATAACGAGATATTTTCTATATTACACAAAAAAAGAGATATTTTTCTATTTTCCTCACCCGAAGCTCAGTCTGCAACTCCTCTCCCAAAAGCAAGAACTGATAGAGACGAAGCATTTCCTCAAATCGCAATAAAGTTGAAATATTTTCTGCTATTTTTTTGTTTCAATTTGGTTCTCTACGGGGGGTTTTGATCGGATGGGGACTCTCACGAGCTTTAGTTTTAGCGCCGTGAATTACAAGTTCCGCTCGGATTCAGTTATCAGGGAAAGAATCGGAATCGGGGTGTTGGAGTCGAAGAAATTGAAGCGGAATTCATGTTTCTTGTGTAAAAAAATGTTTATCAAGGAAATCTCTCCGAAAAAGTTTTACAGAATTAGATGTTTCAGTGCTAGCAATGACGATGGAGAAATGAAGGAGGAGAATTTATCAAAAGATTCAAGCGTCACGACGGTGCCATCGCCGGATGACACGGATGAGAGGCGCAGCAACAAGACACCCGCCTCTGTTTCTTCAAGGGTATACTTTTTTGCTTTTTATTTTTTTCTTGGCATCATTTTGAAGGTATAAATGTGATAGCTTTTTGAAAGATCAGCATTGGAGAATTATATAGAAATGAAAATCCTCTTTTTAGCTTTGAGGATAGATGGAAAAGGCACGAGGGAAATTGTAAGAAGTTTTTAATTGTTATTGCAAGAGAATTCTGTCTCTTACATGGCAATGTATTCCTTGTTCAGCCACCAACTATATCTCCTATTGGACCAGCCTACAGTGATTTTCAAATAGATTCTTTTAAACTGATGGAGCTTCTTGGACCTGAGAAAGTTGATCCTGCTGATGTAAAGATAATTAAGGATAATCTTTTTGGTTATTCTACTTTTTGGGTAACTAAAGAAGAGCCATTTGGGGACCTTGGTGAGGGCATTCTTTTTCTTGGAAATTTGAGAGGAAAGAGAGAGGATGTCTTTGCCAAACTCCAGATGAAGCTTTCTGAGGTCATGGGTGACAAGTATAATCTTTTCATGGTTGAGGAACCTAACTCAGAAGGACCAGACCCGCGTGGTGGGCCACGTATCAGCTTTGGTTTGCTGCGGAAGGAGGTGTCAGAACCAGCACCAACCACACTTTGGCAATATGTCATAGCTCTTATACTGTTCCTTCTAACCATTGGTTCCTCTGTGGAGTTAGGTATTGCATCTCAGGTATGCACTTTAACATGATATTGTTCTCTAGACGTTAGTGGCGTTACTATTTCTATATATTTCTATTTTTCAACAGCTTTTGCCTTTCTAGAAATCTAAAACTTATAGCAAGCTTTTCTACCTGATAGATCAATAGGCTCCCTCCAGAGGTCGTGAAATACTTCACTGATCCAAATGCCATTGAACCACCAGATATGGAGCTGCTACTTCCATTTGTGGAGTCAGCACTCCCCCTAGCATATGGTGTGTTGGGGGTTCTTCTGTTTCATGTAAGCATTTTCTTTCTCTGATGGTTTTAGATAAGTAACATATCATCCTAACACAAGATTTTTTTCCTTTGATCTTTTTCAATTTCACATAGTTATAAAAACATACCATTTGCACATCAAAGGCTGCGTTGCCTCCAACTGAAAATGCACAAAATGTTGATGGTAAAGTGAATCTGTGATCAACAAGAAAGGATAGAACAAGTAAAGAGATGGGTGTGGTACCTACGTGGCATTCAGTGTATCTTAACTATCCTGACTTGGACATTTATTGCAATTTAGACCTACGGTAACAGGTATAAAGAAAAAATAGAAAACAAAGTAATGAAGGGAGATTGAGGTAGGATAAAATTAGATGAGTTGATCTATAGGAAAGTTTTCCTATGGTTAGTGGTCACTGGCTGAAGGGATTCAGTAGATCGATAGTAACTAGCATCAGATTTATTTTAGTTGAGCTGAGTTGTGGTATTGCTTTTTTCATTTTTTCTGAACAGTGAAAAGTTGCAGTAATGCATTTGAACTTTATTAATTTTTTTGTCACATTTGCAGTTTAAGGATAATCAGCATATAGCTTGATACTGTAATCTTATTGAAATGCAGTAATTGAAGGTCCAATCCTCCCATTTAATTAAACTTTATATCAATTAAATGGGTGATATTTTGTTTTTCCTATATTACTTTTTGTAAAACTGTAAAAGCCTTTAGATCCAAGGCCAAAAGCAATTCATGGAACAACTAGTTTGCTATAATGAATTTTGATGTGTTATGCATGTATATGTCTGTGTAAAAGCAAAAGTAGTTTATAGGAATTCCAACATCATTTTGGAAAATGCTTGGACTCATGGTGCATCTCTATCCCATTTAGAGTTTGTTGTTTTTGTTTTTTATTTGGTTATTTATTTATGTCTTTTCTCTATTGTAGCCTGCTACAGATTTAGTTTTGATTGGAATGAACATGACGTGTTGTAGATTTTCATCAGTTAGGTTATAACAAGTGCATGTTATTGTTACTCATATTTTAGAAATATTATGACTCATGATCTATTTCTATATCAGCTCCTTTGCCTCTAACTCTGAGTAACATCACTGAACTCGATCAATCAACTTCTTTTATTTTATTTATTTTATTTTGCTTTTTATGTTATCTTTATCCATATTATGGATTTTGTTCTTTCCAGGAAATTGGACACTTTCTGGCTGCTTTCCCTAAGGAAGTAAAACTAAGCATTCCTTTCTTTATTCCAAATATCACCCTTGGCAGCTTTGGAGCGATAACTCAAGTAAGTGTGACATGTATTCTACTGTATAGCAAGTTGGAAAGTCCAGCATATTTTCCTTGTGTGAAAGATGATATTTCTTACTCAGTTCACCTACATATAGTCTTTATATAAGGTTTCCTTATTCCTTCCTATAAAGTGAGTGACACTCTGTCTCGTATTCCATCCCTTCCTGGAACACTCTGTAACACTGTAACATGTTTTTTTCTTTGTAAGCCCAACCATGTGTACAAAAAAATGCTCTATCACTTTAGTCCCTGGTTAAATACTTTTGTGTGTGGTTATATATTCAGACGGAATGCAAATATCCCATGTTGGATCTGATGATTGCGCTCATCATGCTAATTAAGAATCTCTATGTAAAGGCTGTAAGATATGTCATCATATTTCTTAGGTGCCTTTTATTTAACTTGAGATAGAAATATGCAATTCACATAGTTGGTCAAAGTCAACTTTTTTTCATGATAATGTCAAAGTTTACTGCTCATCAATTGCTGGATTTTGTAGTTTAAATCAATTCTTCCTGATCGAAGTACAAAAGTTGATATTTCACTTGCTGGCCCATTTGCTGGTGCTGCACTGTCCCTCTCAATGTTTGTTGTTGGCCTGTTGCTCTCATCAAATCCAGATGCAGCTGGAGATTTGGTGCAGGTTCCTAGCATTCTATTTCAGGGTTCTTTACTGCTTGGACTCATCAGTAGAGCCACTCTGGGTTATGCGTATGTGCTTTCTTTCTTTCTGCATCTTTTCTACTAAGCACAATTCTCTTTGTGAATTTCAAAAGTTTCATGGATTCAGTGATATGTTCCCCTTTTGGATTAATCTAGTAGGTGATATGACATCTAAGGCCCCTCAGTTCTATTTTTTTTTGAATGAAAATATCTGATTAATGCATGCCATTATTCTTGTTCAGGGCATTGCATGCTGCCACAGTCTCAATTCATCCTCTAGTGATTGCAGGCTGGTAAGTGCCATTCCTGTGTCCAATTGTTCTCTTTAGTCTTGGTCTCTGATTTTCTTCATATTCTTACCATATGAGTTACTATTAAAGGTGTGGCTTAACCACAACAGCTTTTAATCTGCTTCCAGTTGGGTGCCTTGATGGTGGTAGAGCTATGCAGGTACCATTCATTTTGCGGTTTGAACTTTAACAGCTTTATGGTTATAGCTTGATAATTGACATAGGGACAACATGCAGCTTGAGAACATGATAATAGTTATGAAGTTGTGCAAAGAGCCAAAGACTAGTGAGAAAATTATCACAATTAAACATTATACATTCAAGAGAACACTTTGTATGTGTGTCTACAAACCCTTTGGTGCATTTGTGTGTGGTGTACCATGTACATATCTAGAGCTCATAAAAGAACAGAGGAAGACAAGTAATTACCCCTAGCATCTCATTTTAAGTGATGGTTCTCCCTAAACCTAGGCAAGTTCTGAAACATGATCTTTAGTGTAATAATCCTCTCATTTTTATGTTCTTTGTTATTTATAGTTTTATTCTTTGCCAAAAAAAAGAAACAAAACCTGAATGCAAAGGTGCATCTAAGCATTGGTCATAATTCAGAGTTTGAAATATTAGTATCCAGATTCTATTTAATTCTTATCCTCAATTTTGTACGATATTCATAGTAGTTTTTCTTCACATGGTTTAATAGGGTGCTTTTGGAAAAAGTGCGCTCACTGGATTTGGTTTGACAACTTACACACTGCTTGGACTTGGAGTGGTATGCCTGTCTTTTTTCTTTTTTCTTTTTCATTTTTTTCTTTTCTTTTTTTCTTTTGGCCTTCTGGTATGTCTGGCTTTACTTTCCATTTATCACCTATAAAGTTTCACAATACTGCCCATTGAAGTACTGTTTTATGCCTAATGTCATTAAGTCAAAGAATGGCTATGTGTTGTCAATGAAAGGGAAGGGAGGTAACAATGGATTGGGGTATCCTCATTTAAGGATGCTATTCTCTTTCAAATTTTTTCATGTCTATGCTCAAAGCTCTCTCACTGTCCTCCATGCAGCTTGGTGGACCTTTATCACTACCTTGGGGGCTGTATGTGCTGATATGTCAGGTATGCCTAGAAAATTAGTAGCAATCTCAATGTATTAACATATGAAGCTATTTAATCTCTATGATCATCTTCTCATATTCTATTTTAATGATAAAATGTTCAGAGGACTCCAGAAAAACCATGCTTAAATGATGTCACTGAAGTTGGAACATGGAGGAAAACAATTGTGACATTGGCTATTTTCCTTGTTGTGTTGACACTCCTTCCTGTTGGGGATGAGCTTGCTGAAGAGCTAGGCATAGGTCTTGTAACTACGTTTTGATACACGATATGTTGATTATTAAAGAGAAAACAAATGTAGAGAAAAGCCAAGTTTTGACTCAAATAATAAGATCAACTCAATTTGTTACCTTTTGTGCATTTGTTTATAATTGAATGTGCATTATTTTGTACAGCAATGGCCTTGTATACGCGCATCCTAACTGTATTTCATAGGATACGAAATCAGCGCCATGTCACTTGTGGGATCCACTTCATAACCAGCTTGCTGATGTCAAACTTTTGTCCGGGGCTTGTAAGCAACGGGAAAATTCTTAAATCTGGGGATTGGGGAGGGTGGATTTGTTCTTAAAAAAATATATATAAGAATGAATTATTTTTTAAAATTATTAATTAAAAAAATATTTATTATTAATTATGTGATATTATTATATGTTAGTTTTTTATTAAACAATAATTAAGTGGCAAAAGTATTTTTTTGTCCAGCACTTGGTGATACAATGATCACCCTCTGCCGAGACGTGCTTAGGACTAAAGACTTAGATCAAATCTCAAGCCTCCTTCCCATTTTCCCCAAAAAGAATTTCACACTGTTCAAAAAAAAAGTGGCAAAAGTATTTTTGACATATGATGATATCATATATTAAATAATAAATTATTTGTTTTCAATTAATAATTTAAATAAATAATTTGCCATTATCTTTTTTTTAAGGGTGGATTTATCTTTACTCTTCTACTTAATAAGTAGATTCATCACATATCAATTTTTTATTAAAAAACAATTAGGCAGCAAATATATTTTTTATGTATAATGACATCGCATGTTAAATAATGAGTAATTTATCTTAATTAGTAATTTACTAATTTAAATAGATAATTTTTTTTTGAACAATTTTGCAAAGAATTGGATTCGAACCGTTGTCCAAAAAAAAAGAGAGATGCACTTAAACATGACTTGATATTATTAGACCCGAAAACTCACGTGCATTTAAATAGATAATTTATTCTTACTCTTTTTTTTTGAGATATGAATTTATTTGAATCCTCCCATTTGAGAGGCAGATTAAGGGTCCTATCTATAAGCAACTTTCTCAAGTTAGAGGATTTGAGTGCATATGTTAAGTATAGGGTCTGATTTCAAACTACATGCGGAGTATAGGGGCTGATTTGCCCATTTCGCCTCTATCAACACCGTTGAAAATGCCAAACAAGGGAGAGCTCCGTGGCCTGTACCCTCTCAATTTCCCACCTTCCTCCTTCCAAACCCGCAATCCAATCTCACCCTTTTAATGTCGAGGCAACAACCTAAGAAATGTTGCCAAGAACAGCAGCTTGAAGAACAAACTCAATTCCTAAACCATCACTTCTTGCAATGTGCGGAACTTGTGCTCCCATGGCTAACCCCACAAGAACTAGCCGCCATCTCCTCTACCTGCAAAACCTTTCGCCAGTATTCCAAATCTGTCACTCTACGTCGCTCCCTCGACGCTTCCAGATCCTTCGAGACCTTTCCCGTCCCATTTTACAATTTAGTTGATCAACACCCATATGCTTACTTCATCTACACCCCCTCCCAATTCATCCCTTCTTCCTCCTCTTCTCCCCAACGCCAGTCATGGGGCTCGAAACTCGACCCCAGTCTCAGTAACGACCCAGTGGCTGAAATGGGTCCGGAAGGGAATAAGGTGAGTCTGGTGGACGAGAAAGGGGAGAATGAATACGGATGCGATTGTGAGAGATGTGAGAAAGTGAGCGACGAGAACGTGTTTGGTTGTCCCTGTATGGACTCTGAAGGGTTGGAGATAGTGAATGAGTGTGGACCGAGTTGTGGGTGCGGGTTGGAGTGTGTAAATCGTTTGACCCAGAGAGGGATTCTAGTTAAGCTGAAGGTTCTGAGAGATTTGAGAAAAGGTTGGGGGTTGTATGCAGCTCAGTCGATTCAGGAAGGCCAGTTTGTTTGTGAGTATGCAGGTATTTTTTATACTTTTATCTTCTAAACAAAAAATTGAAAATTGTTGCTTCTAGATAACAGGGCAATGTTAATTTTAACATTTTTAGTGTTCTTGTTGTGATGATTTTTTGTTCTGGCATTTGTGAGTTGGAATATATATAGAATTGCGGGCTGTTGTGGGAAATTGTGTTGTTTTGATTGTTCCTAAATGATTTTTCATTTGCAAGATTGCTTTTTGATGTTATGCCTAATTTCCGGAAATTGTTTCAGTGAAAAAATGGTGTATGGGATATGAATCGTAGAAGATGACAGTAGATACTACCAAAGAAACCCACAACAAAAGTAACATGAAAAACCAAAGACCTGTTGGTTTGAGTGGATGGAGCCCAATGAAGAAAGATTTCAAGTGGGAGTCTTGTGAATAGAAAAACAGTTACTGGGAGAGCTTTCCCCTTCTACTGTCCGACCAGCTTGACTGTGGATTAGTTGGGGTCCAATGTGGCTTTTGGATAGGGGGGTTAGTACCAATAAAAAAAGTGACAAGGAAAATAGTGAAATACATAGGAGTGATGAAGAAATAGATTTTGAAGATATGTGAAGTTATGAACAGGATTTAGGGGGCACCATTGTGTTCTTTTGCATAGGATGTGTAATTTTGCTCTCGAAATGTTTTAAGCTCTGCACTGTGAAAAAAAGTGATTAAAATGAAAAATTATTCCATGATAAGCTGGTATATGAAGAAAGGCTGCTGCTATTAGTGCTAGTTTGCCATGCATAGTTCATATTTCTTATTATCCTTGATCATCTGAATAACTTTTGCCAGACCAAGTCTCTTCTGTGCAAAATACAAAGTTCTCCTCCCCTCCGGCAGGTGACATACACTTTTTTTTTTTCTATTTAGTGCGTTATAAGAACTGAAATCTCAAAAAGACTTCAGCAGAGGCAGAGTGCTTGAGGGTGCAATTTGCAAACATAGATTTCCTTCTGCTTATGCCCTCCACCTTAGTTCTTTTTCTTCTCCATGTCCTTTGTCAGCTCTTTGGCACTGCATTCCCTGTAGCTGTAGCTAGAAGTAATTCTGTCTGCTGTTGTATCTTTACATATTTATGCGTATTTCTGTTTTAATATTTTTGGAATAGGTGAACTCTTAACAACCAAAGAGGCTAGAAAGAGGCAGCAAATATATGATCAACTTGCTTCAGCTGGACAATTTTCTTCTGCCCTTCTAGTTGTGAGAGAGCATCTTCCATCTGGGAAGGCATGCTTAAGAGTGAATATAGATGCCACAAGAGTTGGAAATGTTGCCCGTTTCATTAATCACTCTTGTGATGGTGGTAATCTGTCTACAGTACTCGTGAGGAGCTCAGGGGCACTGGTGCCTCGTCTCTGTTTCTTTGCTTCAAAAGACATAAGAGAAGATGAAGAGCTCACCTTCAGCTATGGTGAAACCAGGGTCAGATCTAATGGCTTGAAATGTTTCTGTGGTAGCTCCTGTTGTTTTGGAACTTTGCCTTCAGAACATACTTAAATGTGTTGGCAGCAATGTACAGAATCTAGTCCTCGGCTTAAAGCATCTGCTTTGAACTTGAATGGTAACTTTCATAACAATAAAACCAAGAATGGTGATAATTGAGTTTGTCCAAATGATTTCTAGCTTGCTTTGCACATGTATGATCAAATGGTGGCAATAACCACACTCAAAAGACATGAGGGTTCTGGTTCCTCAATCGCCCTCAATTCTATATATTACAATAAATGCATTGTAGCCCACAAGTATTGCTTCTGTTGTTGTCTAAATTTCTCTGCATAATGTTTCTTTTGCAAATTTTCTTCCAACAGGCAAACTCTCAACACCGAAAGAGGCTAGAAGGGTGCTGGAAATCTATGATCACTAGCATCAGCTGGTCAGTTTTCTTTTACTCTATGTCATGGGGAAGCATCTTAACATCTGGGAAGGCATGCTTTTTAGTCAACCATTGACTGCGTTTCATTCATCACCCTTGTAATGCTGACAATCCGTTGAAAGTACTTGTGAAAGACTCGACCGTTTTGGTTCCTCGTCTCTCTCTTTCTTCACCTCGAAATGCGTAAAAGGTGAAGAGCTCACTTTCAACCATGATGAAACCGAGGTCAGATCCAAGGGCCTGAGATGTAACTGCAGCACCTTCTGTTTTCTGGAACTTTGCTTCTCCAAAACACACCTAAACGCAGAAGCAGCGGCAGAAGCAGAAGGGAACATATGTGTTCATTAGCATTCTGGTAATGTGCATTAAATTTAACCGAGAACTATACTTTTTGGGATTTTTCGAAGGACACATAATAATAAAAGTGTAATAAATACATATTTTTATAATTGATTTTTATTAAAAATATTAATATTGATTTTGATTTAATCCATTAATTAATTAAAATTATTTACATATCAATAATATTAAAATATATGTTAATTTTTATAATATTTAATATAAATTAATTAAAAAATATATTTATTACATCATGAGTATACGTTAGACAAACCTTATTTTTTGACTTCAGTGTATATATGGTTCTGAAAATACTGATTATATTGAAACTCCTTCAAATATACTTGCGATCAGAAATACAGCCCAATATGTTGGTATTAAATTGAGTCATTGATCATATTCCTCCTTTTCTTCTACTATAACGAACCCCAACCCTAGCTACTAGCGAGAAGCTTGATTTGAGCTTGACTTAACCTGAGATTGATCCATCTTAAGCTCGATAAAAGCTCACAAGCTACTCGTGCTTGTTTTCTAACAAAGTTTAACTTGAATGGAGGCTGGAGTACTTAGAGCATCAACAAACAGAAATAATAAAAAAAACTCACTTTAATATCATATCATTACAATTAATATTAATTTTATATATTTAATTCTCAAATAAAACACATACTAAAACACTTCCGTTCCACGCAGAGCTTTTTAAAAAATACAAAATTATTATTTTATTTTTTTCACAATTTATACAATTTAAATAAAAAATTTAAATTAAAAAAATTAAAAAGAAAAGTCCAAGCCGTTGGATCCAAAATCCAATGGCTTGGTGAGACACAGCAATGGGCCTTACATGACGCGCATGTTAGGCTAGTCAACAATTTCAACTTTGAATGAACCTAACCAGCGTAGTTTTAACCTCTTATGAGCCAAAAAAAATTTGACGAAGTTATCTTTATTTATAGAACAAAACTTGGTGTTTAAAAAGTATTTTTTTAATTTATGTCTTAAGTATAAATTAAAAATATTTTTTTATGTTAAATATATATAAAAATATAAAAATTGATATTAATTTTAATATTAAATAAATTTAATTAAATAATTGATAAATTAATTATTAATTTTTATTTTTTCAATTTAAATTTGTAATAAAAAATATATTTAATACATTTTTAATCTATATTTTTAGGACACATATTAAACAAATCCTTTTAAAAATTCTCCAACAAAGAAAACATTAAGGCTTTGTTCTGCATATTGATACTCAGCTTCGTTCAATTTAGCTAGACTCAACTTGTTTAAAGCTTACATGAATCCAAATCCCTTTTGAAAATTTTATCCTTCAACCAAAAAAAAAAAAAAAAATCACATGTTTTGTAAGATGTAATATTGTATCATCCCAAGAGATGTAGAAATCTAAAATTTCAAGCACTGGCATGAGTTCCATGCAAGCTTTGTTGCTGGCTGCTACATCCTACACGCCACGGACAGCACAAATCTTGTGCCCTCCTCTAAAGACAACCTTCTTCGATTATTTTATTACATAATAATCAACGAACTATTGTTAGATTAATTAGTAGTTAATTAATCCTTCCCGCGGCAACCACCTGCCTTGCACGTGATTCTCACACCATTCCAAGAGTACCATTTCTTCCCCCTCTTTCTTACCAACCATAACGTCCGTCCCTCTCACCATATGTACAAATGTTTTTTATCGTCAGCTCTACGCTATAAAATAACATAGTGAACGAATTGAAAAAGATAAAAATATTTTTAAATAAAAAGTTTTTTTAATTTGTATCTTTTAAGTAAATAATTAATGTATTTTTTATAACTAATTTATATGAGAATGATAGATATTAACTTTGAATTAATAAGTTAATTAATTAAAATTATCTAAGTATCACTGGTATTAAAGTAAAAATTAATTTTTATAATTTTTTATGTAAATTAATTATAAAAAAATATATTCATTATATTCTTAACTTATATTTTAAGATATAAATTAGACAAAATCCTTAGATAAATTAGGATGATAAAAATCTATTAATAGTATTTTTGTCTTTTTCTATCTTGAATTAATATTAGCGTAGTTCGCGTTGAAAAAATACCATTCTCTATAAAGAAGAGAAAAGGAAAAAGAAAATAAAGCTTAATGCAGTCACAATGGTAATCCCTTCACGAGACAAACGTGTACTCCTCAATTCTCCACATAATATAAGCACCAAACTCACCACCTTCCTTTCTTATAGCTGATCATCCCCAATGGCAGAGCCACAAGGCCAGGGCACATCGGAAACTCGACGGAAAGGCGGTCTTGGCAAACGTGCTGTAGCGTCACCGGAGGCTGACCAGGCTATGGTAGCTGCATCTGGCCCCCCATCTACACCATGCGGAGCGTGCAAGTTCTTGAGGAGGAAGTGTATTACCGGATGCATCTTTGCACCACACTTTGGTTCGGACCAGGGTGCAGCCCGGTTTGCAGCGGTTCACAAGGTTTTTGGGGCAAGTAACGTGTCTAAGCTCTTGCAGCACATCCCACTGAACCGGCGGCACGACGCGGTGGTCACGATATCATACGAAGCTCAGGCCAGGCTGTCGGACCCGGTTTACGGTTGTGTCTCCACTATTATTGCTTTGCAACAACAGGTAAATATCTCCATAGAATTCCATATAAAAATCTATTTTTCTCAATTTGAGATTATAATCCCCCCTTTTATATATATATATGGTATTTGATTCATATCCTTAATAGTTTCTGTTTTTCGAAAAAAAAAATTATATCCTTATTAGTCATGAAAAAGGAAGTTATTACTATGAGAAGAAAAGTTTTTTTTTAATACATTTTTTATAATTGTTAATGAAAAAGTATTTTATTGGTATAGTTATATTAAATTATATAACACAAATTATTAAATAAAAAGGACCTTTTAATATTCAAAGGGCATTTAATCTTTCAAGTGATGTTTTGTAATTTAAATTGTAAAATACTAGATTCAATTCTAACATGTTCTTGGAAAAAAAAAAAAAAAAACTATCTTTTGGTTGTTGAAGGGTTTCAAAACCAACAAACCCAAAAAGGTTTCACGTTTTTCATTCTATTTAGTACAATGAATTTGCAATACGCTGGAAAGGTCCTTATGAATCCCATGAATTGCCACTTGGCAATGACTTTCATTACTTTAGAAACGTATGTAACGCCTCCAAACTGAATTTTAGACGTTACAGAAATTTCAAATCAAGGTTACAAATTCAAATCATATACAAATGTTATTTTTAGTACATAGGAAATTGGTTGTATGACATCACAAAGTTTAGAACATTTAATTTTAACCTTTTTATAATTTTTAAATTAATAAAATATTAACTCAACCAAACTCTAATTAGTAAATTATATATTAAAGTATTTTAACTCTTAAATAATATATACAAAATGTCAAAAATAAATATCATATGTTAAATAGTACAAGAGTTACCTATAATTATAGATTTGGTTTGATGGTAACAAAGAGAAGGAAAATACTTTGGATAAGCTTCTCTCCCTTCCAAACTCTTTATTAACTAAAGAGAGGAATTTTCACTCCACTCATTCCCTTTCTTTAAATCAAATATACTATAAAAGTTTTTTAATTACGTGATAAAATGTTCAAAAATGATGTGTGTACACCCGGATCCAACACCCGGATCCAACATCCGGGTGTGCACACCTCCACATAAAAAAAAAAACCCAACCGGGTGTTCTCCATTTTTTTTTTATGTAGAAGGGTGCACACCCGGGGTGTTGGATCCGGGTGTGCACCAATCATGGTTCTAAAATGTTACATTTGATTAAAGTATATATAGTGTTAAAAAAATAAATGCAGGTGGCGTCGCTGCAGGCAGAGCTGGCGGTGGTGCAGAACCAGCTGATGAACAGTCGGTTAGCCATGGCAAATGCCCTTAACTCGCAGCAGCTGCAGCAGCAACACCAGCAGCAGATGGCAGTGCTACAGCCGGCGTACTCGAATAATTCATCAGCTTCCAACGATATGCTCAACATGAGCAACTTCACCTCAAGTTTTGATTTTGTAGCAGATACAGGGCCGTCTTCACAGAGTTTGGAGCCTCTTCCGCTGTCCCGCCCGGCCCAGGAGGAGGAGGATGATGAGGAAGAGAGCAAGACTCCGGGCATTTTCCCGGATGAGATACTTCGTCGGAGATAATTAATTAAACTCTATTAATTTTAATTTAGTTGATCTTCCTCCGCATACTAGGTTAGCTAGCTTGTGCTCTTGACCATTCATAGAGAATTAAAATTTATGTTTCTCTTTAAATTCATGTGAGGTGCTTTTAATTATAGAACATTAATTTAGTTTTCGTAATTAACACTGATTAGTTTACTTTTTATTTTAACATATTATATAACAAATTTATTAAAAAATTATTATTTTTTAATTTAAAATTAAAAACATATGAACTTTGAAATATAATTATGCATATAACATGTAAAAGCTTATTGTACTTTTATTATTTTTAATAATTAAATTAAATAAATGTCAAAAGGTGTATCAAATTTAAAAGTCAATCATTTTCTCTTTTAATGATTGAATCAAATAGGGTCGAGAAGTATATCAAACTAGAAAGTTAATCATTCTCCTTTTTAATTCGTTCGATTGAAAGAGAGCATTTAGAGTCTTTAACTTACTTTTTAGCTACTTGTGAAAGGTTTGGAGTGCTACACATAAAAACTCAAATTTTATAATGTGTATATAATATAATTATAGTTTGAGGTGAACACATGTAAAGACCTAAGATTTCAAAATGTGCATAAACACTTGAGATTTGTATTAGATACGTACAAATACTAAGCTAACATGAAATGTCCTAAACTCCTTTATATATGTTTCTTTTTTTCTTTTTTTCTTTTTCTTTTTTTTTCATTCTTTTCAGTTAGGAGCTTTAAGTCATTTCAAGAAATTTTAAGTTGTTATTTGCATATGGTGCAAATTTCAAGTGCTTACGTGTATATCTTAAAATCTTTAAGTCTTTATTTACCCATACCCTGCAAAACCATAATTGTGTCATGTGTCCATTGTAAAATTTTTGGTCTTTATGTGTACTTATTCTCAACTACAGCTACCTAAATTGTAATTTCCTAATCAATCTGTTTTAGATATATGTTAGTTTAGTGTCTTTTTATTTTGGCGTAAATTTAAATAACATTAAATTAAAAATAATTAAAAAAAGTTTCAATTTTAGCTTTTAATTTTTATTTTCCACTCCTCAAATTTTGGTTAAAAAGGGACAAAAAATAGGTAATGACAGACGCCAAAACACAGTTGGAGAAGATAAACCCTTGTAACCAGTCACGCAAGAGAGGAGAAATCTAGAGATTTATATGCAACACATCCTCGCAAAAAATAGCTCTTCAACAGCTTGAACCTTGTTCCTCTCATTTGGAAGTAGACGAGCAATAATGGGATTATAAGACGGATTTAAGGACTCACAACTGCAAAACATGGCATGAGTTACCTGCAACTAACCTGAATCAGCTACCTTAAGCCGAGGAACATTTGAAACACCAACAGAGGAATAGAGAGATATTTGAGAGAGATGAGCTCCTTGCTGCGCCACACTGTTTTGAAATGAGGTTCACATCCAAAAAACCAAGAACTCTACCACCCGTCCACGGTAACAGACTATACCAAACCCTTAAATCAAAGCCCTTCTCATCTCTAAACAAGATCTCCAAGGGCCAAAAGCCACAAGCAACATCAACTTCAAGACTAGACAAACCAAAAACAACAAGGCCCAAGGGCATGGGATATGGTAGTTGATCAGGGGTACACCCAACTTATATGTGACAATGTTTGGAGAAGTTTAATAATTTCTAGATTAAACATATAATTGCATAAAAAAAAAAAAAATCTTACTGCCAACCACGCACACCAATTCCAAAACACCAACATACTCCATACCATCATAAGGCTACGTACTACTAGAAAACCCAAAGCTCTTGCCAACTTAAGGCAAACCAAGGCTACTAGAATTACTAATTAAGACTACCATAACTAAAATTTCTTGTGTTTTCAACAGTAGAAAACAAAAAACAAGATAAACCCCAATCTGAAACAACACTATACCCCCAAAAACAACAATAACATAACCAGTGTCAGAAACAAAGCCAATCTGAAGATCACTAATAATACCACAAGAAAATCCATACTTAATTAGCCTTCCACCACGTAGCTTTCAACATAAGGATCCATGAAAATAATAAAGTGTCTGGTGCATAGGTCCTAGTAAAAATCATGTAAATCACTAATCTATCAAGTCAAGAACAAAAACTCCCATATCTACAGGAAAATTTAGAACCTAGGCACTAACCAAATAACCACAATGAAGAGGATTTTTGAGGGATGCTTCACCTGAATGCACAATTCTGCTCAAACCGTGGTGAAAATTAAAATCCTCTTCCATAGCTTATGTGACTCATTCTATGCATTTTGTTTTTTTTTTTTTTCTTGAAGAAAAAATCTCATGTTTTTCTTGGAAGAACTTTTGTTTTTGTTTAATGATTATTTTTCTTACACAATTGTTCCAACTCTTGTTTATATAGATCCATGTGAATGGCATGGGTATCTAGCTAATTATTGTTTGCTGATAGATGACATGATTCATCACCATGTAATTTATTTCTTCCATTATGTTGAAACGGTATAAGTTGGTAAAACCTACAAAGTAAAGCTTAATTGAAACTGTAATTATTTCAATCAATTTTATTACTAATAAACTACTGATATTGATGAAAACTGAGCCAAATCTACCAATGAGATTAGTAAAACATTAATGAGGTTTTACTCACATTGTTAGGACAATAGTTTGTGCCCATGATCTAAGATATAGTTGTAATGGTTAGGATATACTTTCTTTTGTTTGGTTGTTAGATGGTGTATGGAGGTAGCTTGAACATACTAGATTAGATCTTAATTTTTTTTTTATATATATTTCTTTTTGTTATACCAAAATAATATTATTAGTTCAAATTAGGAGAACCAGAGGTCATCAAACTTCCAAGTTTAATTAGAAAACTCAAATGAGAGCTTGAAAGCCTGTTTCAAGCTGAGAAGCTACTCTGCTTCAAAACACAACTCATACCCTGCACATACTAGATTAGTCTACTCCTACCGTCTGATCAAAGACAAAGCATCCAGGCTAAAACAAGGAGTTATATTTATAGTTAGGAGTTTAGGTCTCCACTGCCCCTTGGCCTGAAACCCTGAAAAAGAAAAGAACAGAACTTATGTAGTTGATTCTAATTTATTATTTTGGTTTTAAGTCAATTCTCATGGCAGTGTAATCATTTTAACACAATGGCATTAAAGAAAAGAAGTTATGTAGGCTTGGTTGAGTTGAGCTTAGTTTGTGTAGAATGCTTAGTTCACTCTTCACTAGTCAAGCTTCTGTTTTATCTTTAAAGATATCCATTTATTTTCCCCTTTTTTTTATTCTTTTCTTAATTTAATTTTCTTGTGCACTTGTTTAATCCATTCTTATTGAAGGTATAAGAGTAAAGCCAACTTTCCTTTCTAGGCCAGTTCATGTTTCCATTACTCCCAGTGAACAAAATGAGCAGAATGACATAAAAAACCAAGGTATATTCCATTTTAGCACTTAGTATTACTGACAAGTAGCATAACATGTTATTAAATTGATTATTGTTCTTTTTTTATTATCTATCATTGCTATCTATTGTTCAATTTATTTTTTTAACCATACATTTTTTGTATTTTTAGTGGAGTATTTGATGCAAGGAGTGAAGAATAGTCTTTTTTTACCTAGGATTTTATTATAATAATGATGAATATTTTTAGAAAATAAATTATGAGATAAATATGTAATTCTAGACTTAGGACATTATATTAGGGTTAGAATTTTATGTTTATTAGTTTATTTAGTTTCTTGATTTGAAAACCTCCAATTTCTTCAATTCTATTTGCATCTGTCCATCTGTTTCTCCATTTTCTACATCATTATTCTGTGTATCACACAGTGTATTTTATTATTTCTTTTGCCAAAAAAAAACATTTTCAGGAGAGAATAGTTAAATTGTGAATGTCTCCCAGAAAAAGGATAGAAATCTTTAGGCTCGTCCCATATTTTAGTAGGAAGTTATATTTTAGTAGTTATTGATGAATGCCATGTTGTTGAAATAATGATAATTTTGGGCGTAAATTTCCTACTTATGTTTTATATATCTTTTGAAGAAATGGAAAACCAAAAAGTAAGGATAAACTAAAATAGTATCTGAAACTCTGTTGATTTTTTTGTGAATTGAAATATTTTGAAAGGTCTTTTTATGCCTTTCCCTTTTAACGGGATTATTACTTCATGTCCTCAACATGTTAGACTGTTCTCAGTTTTGTCCCTAACAGTTTCTTTGGTTCCAGTAATTTTGACTTTTTAAATGCTGTAAAGTTTACCCTTCCTAGCAAAGAATCCCACTTCAAAAAATTAAAGAAAGAAAGAAACTGCTCCATTGGAGCAGTCAGATGGAGGATGAAACCCATGGTTTGCTCCATACTGTCATCTCTTAGGTCATTCCAGTTGCTTACCCCTACTTTTCTCCTTATTTTCAAAACAAGGAATGAATTTCTCCCGTTTCTTATTTTCCTTTATTTGCTTTACTTTCCCCTTTCTTTCCCTTTCCCTCACTATATAATTGTTTTGTTGGAGTTTCATTCATTGATAAAAAGGCTTAAAGGCCAATAAATCTACTGCTGCTTATGAAATTGTCATTACTTATACCAAAAATATCAACCCTAAGTTCGAAAATTGGGTTTTAATATTGCAGTGGTATGTCACCAGCGTGGATTTAATTTACTCCAAGACTTCTTTGGTATGACCCATTGCACTTATTTAAGCCTTTTTCTTTTTATCAGTATTCAAATAGTTATAGTAATTTTTCTTTTTATATTGATTTTTGCAGGAATCAAGCACTTGTATGACCAGAAGTTAATCCATAGATATGCCCTTGAGATTCTATATTGCATGAGCAGCAAGGAACTAGCAGAACTGAATGCCAAAGAACTTGTAGAGAGTGGAGTTATCCCAGCATTCTTCCAAGCTGTCCATCATGGCATATTGGAGTTTGTGGATGAAACGGGTAAAAATAATCCAGATATATTTTCGTGTGCTGATGAACATTCAAGGGATGCATTCATGTATGCAATTGAGTATCGCCAAGAGAAACTTTTCCTCAAACAAAATCTCTCCAAACAAAAGGTATATCTGCTTGCCTTGAGAGATAAGGACAACAACAATGTGCTACATATGGTAGCGAAGTTAGCTTCTGACTCACGGCTTGCTCATATCTCAGGTCCAGCCCTGCAGATGCAAAGAGAACTGCAATGGTTTAAGGTCATCATCTCTCACTTCTTTTTCTTGCATTCTCTGTTCAATTAATGATTGAAATAATCTGTCATGTTAGTATTTTCCATTTCAATGCAATAATCTGATTTTACAATATGAATGGTGCCTTCTTGGAATGAAACCAGGAGTTAGCAATTCTTGTTCCTGAATGTAAAGACTTTGTAAATCATAGTGGAGAAACTCCTCAGCAAGTGTTCAGTAGGGATCACAAGCAATTGAAAAAAGAAGGGGAAGAATGGATGAAGCAAACTGCGCAATCATGTACTGTTGTTTGTGCCTTCATTGTTACCATTATGTTTGCCGCAGCTTTTACAGTTCCTGGTGGTAGCAATCAAGACTCTGGCATTCCAATTTTCTTACACAGAAGATTATTTATGGTATTTATACTGTCAGATGCAATTTCTCTGTTCAGTGCATCCACTTCAGTATTAATGTTTTTAGGAATTCTCACATCTCGCTATGCTGAAGAAGATTTTCTGAGGTCATTGCCCACCAAGTTGATCATTGGCCTCTGCACCCTCTTCATTTCTATTGCAACAATGATGATTGCCTTTTCTGCTGCTGTTTCACTTCTTTTACAAGGACGATAGTGGGTAATCATTTCACTAGTTTTGTTTGCCGGTATTCCAGTAATTGTCTTTTTGTTGTTGCAATCTCGTCTTCTTACTGAGATCTTTTGTTCAACTTATGGACCAGGAATCTTTGATAGGCAAAACAAAAGGTTCTCAATATGAAAAATGCTATCATCTTAAAGGAAGATGATGAGAAAAATGACGAAGGTGACGAGAAGGGTCTAGTTAAGTATGTAACTTTCTTGAACCCTGTCTTCATGTGACTTAACTGGACATGCAGTCTTGCTGTTGGAGATTTTAAGTATGAATTCTGAAATTAATAAGAGGAGTTTGAGAAGATTTTATTTTCTATTGTACAGTATATCACTCGTCATATTAAAAATAGAAGTCCTACTATATTTCGTGTATGTGTGGTGAAATAGATATTTATTGAATGCTCTTGGAGTAGTATTTAATCAAACGGTGTACAGTTAGAGAGTTAAATTATACCTTTTTCTAATTATTTTTTACAAGGTGATTCACTCGAAGGATGATTA